CTGCTAAAATTACTCACCACCTACTCTTTTCTTATTAACAGGATGTGCCCATGGGCCAGTACCACTTTCAGAGGCGTTCAGAGAGGTGATTTAACTTCTGTATATTTTTTTCCATAAGTAACATTGAGCATACTAAAGGGCAGTTATGTTACAGTAGTTGACATATTTCATCTGTTCTAAATCCTAGTGATCCTAGTTTTGACCTTTTTGTAATAAACGTAGTATTTAAATACATACAGTAGGATGAATATGTATAGAATGAATTGAAATGGTAAAGATATTTCATGTTTATGAATGTATGCCAAAGAGCCTTCTAGATAGAGTCATTAATAAGTCAATGTCCTCCTCAGAACAAAATCTCAGAAGAAACGTTTTGAGGAGGAACTCAACGAGAGGATGATTCGAACTTTTGATGGGATCAATTCTCAAAAGTAGGTCACCTCATATCTCTGCTTTATTTGCCCATTATGTTTAATGTTCCAGTTCTGTGTTGGTTGGTTTTATCTATCCGTATCTTTTTTTCCATAGACAATGGCTCAAATCAGAGGACATTCAGAGAATATCTTTGTTTTTCCACAATAAAACATTGGAAAAAGAGGTAAGCACTGATACTTTGTAAGCTAATGTTAATTTGAACTAGAGTCATCCATAGTTTATTAATAATACGTCACCATATCAATAATTGAAATATAAACCTGTTTGTTGTCACCCACGATAAGACTGAGAATGAGACGAATCAGTCAACTAAATTTAAAAAAGACCAAATTGTTAGATCCTGTATGAGAACAGTGTGTCCTTTCCCTGCAGTATAGAGCAACGACCCTGCCAGCCTTCAAATATTATGTTACCTGTGCCTGCTTGATATTCGTCTGCATTTTCATTGTGCAGATCCTGGTTCTGCCAAAGTAAGTTTGTTCATCTTCTGCACCTGTTTCACAGTGCATGACAACACAGGAAATGTCATAGAAGGATTTAAACAATGCAATCTGTATCCAAATAGAAATATTTTAACATAGAATTCTTAATTTCTACTGACTTATGTTTAATTCTATTACAAAAGGTCTCTATTTAAGTCTTCACTGTTGTGAACTGGAGATGTCAGGATGAATTTGTGAGCGAGAACACCTGTTCTCACTTTCTTCCG